AATGAGTGCAAATTTAAAGTATATGTAAACGACTTAAGGTCCTCAACAGTCTACATACAGCTGTGGCTCTCTTTAAGGATGCTATACAGTCGAGTTGCTAAAATGGCCCATACACGTTGCGACGGTCGCATGGACTCGCTTGCTAAAGAACACACGCATAAAGATTAAATGAGAAGACTATTGCATCTTGTATGGACTACTTTATAATTTACATTAAGGATTCTATTACATTTACAGATTATTAGCATAGGTTCAATTGAAGCTGCCTTTATAAAAATCTCACCTAAACCACTTTGTGCCTTAATAGTCACGTCTTTAAATGTAGTACATTTTTTCTTTTTCGTATGACATTTCATATCAAACGAACGTATGAACGATGAATTAACTCATATGAATCGAGGTAACTGTAATTATAGCAATTCACGTGAGATTATGCACCATTCAAATTTGAATTTATTCAAAAGAAATATAAATAAATTTGCATTACATTAAATATGATTGAAATGGGAAATCTAGCGTAATTTCCTAATGTGTTTGAATTAAATGACACAATTTAATGGTTTATTTTATGAATGATGTGGTATTTATTACTTCTATTCTCTTATAATGGTCCTCATAGGAGATTTCTTGATCACAACGCTACAAATAGATTAAACAAATGCTACTACAAGTCACTTTGACAGTTAAAACTGTCAATTTCATATTGATCAGATAATATTTTTTTAGACCCTTGCTGGGCGCCATTTATTTCTATACTATTGGGCCGTTTCTTTAAGATTATTGTACCCATATATTTTTTTAAAATATATTTTATGGGGTAACATCCGCGTACGCAATCATTTGTGTATTATAAACAAATGATTGTGTACGATGATCCAAAAAATTCTGCAACAGTTTAGCAGGAACTTCAATTCCACAAAACGAAAAAGAACTACTTTTTTTACGTTGTTCTAAAGGTTTAGACAAAATTTCAAGCTAACACAAAGAGAGTACGTTTGTTGTTAGGGTTTTCATATATTCTTAAATAACAAATTGTACAAGCAGTGTCTTTAGTAACCTAAGCGAAACAAAAAACATGGTTACACGGAAAAATTTAGGTTTTTTGTTTCACCCTTTATTACATTTGACACCTAACATGTCGATAGCATAATAATATCAAAAATTATAATCTAAATAGGAAACAATGAGCTAATATTCGACATTGAAAATGCAGCATTCAAGTACTAAATACAAAATTAAATAGATCTAATTATGCCCATTACAAAAATTAACGAATAACCACAACACAGACCGGCGACAATCAATTACATTTTACAACTTAAATAATATCATTCCTTCATTCTCATAAAAATAATCATGAATTAATTCACAATTCGCTTATTAAAATAATTTAATAAATTATAAAAAAATAAGAATAATAATAATAAGAAACACATTACAAAAATAGCGGGGAAAAATACTGTGTCCCTTCAAAAATAAAATTATGGGATATCGATTTTGCCATCGTATATCGAATATAATTGGCTAGTTTGTTTGCACTGGCAATTGTCACTAAAGATGCAGCTGTCACGGCAATCGTGCGACATCGACGTGCTAGGACCAGGATCGACTCGTAACACCAATTCTCTATCACTAGATCTGACACTATGCAACACGTCACAAGTAGGATGGGGTAACACCGATGAATCTAACACCGAGCTAGCACAATAGGCGCAGTGACAGCTTACTGGGCCTTCCGTTCGGACTCCTGTCATACGAAGTCCATGGCGTCGCGTGACTTCGCCGAGAAGTTGTTGAAGTTCCGCTTCTTGAATGAGCGCTCGAGTAGTTTCTTAACTTCGCTCACTATAAATACGCTTGAAGTGAGGCATACGAGGAATATAAGATCTGAGAACAAAATAAAACTATTTTAGAAAATGTTTGTAGTCCCACAATGGGCGCCACATTTCCAAAATAGTCTTTGAACAGGACTAAACCGAATGTCGCCTGAATAAGAGCGACAAGAACAGAAAAGTTTTTCATCATATCAGCCGGAAGACGTCCACTGCTGACATAGGCCTGTCCCAAAGATTTCCAGACTAGCCGATCGGACGCGACGTGCATCTAGTGGGAAACGATAAGTGTTTATTAACATATAATTTTAACACCGCTGTCGTTGCGATGCGTATCGTGTGGAAAAAGAAGATAAATTGATGCGATGTGCAGCGTCACATAATATTGTACACGCCAGACAATATGGTTAAATTTTATAACGACATAAAACTTCAAATTCTTGTCTCACGCAGCCGGTAAGACGTTCAGCTTAAATTGTGAACAAGCTAAACACTACAACTCCCATAGTGGTGATTACGAGACGACCATGTTGTTCCACCGCCTGAGCGAGACGTCTGACGAAAATCAAAGAAAAACATCAGGAATGACTATTCACAGATGCGTTAACGCTAAGTCTTCCCTAGCTTGTCAGTAGATGGTGCCGTCAGGTACCCTCATGTTGAGTGTCTTACGACTATCTTGGATCTTTCGATCAATCACAAATGGGGAAATTTCCACCATTATCTGGTGAAAACTGTATTCGTATACTCCCCATGTGATATACGACGGGTGTGGCAATACGTTTAGCAAATTGACACAAAATGGTCAATTTCTTTGCGTCGTCTCTGGCAGAGCTGTTTTTCAAGGGACGCTTCGAGCAGTGCTGCGCTGTCTTCGAGTTCTAGTATTTGGGTACAGCCCACCTATATACTCTACTCCGAAGTGCCCAATGGACCCCAATGCACTCCATGGTTCAGCATTGACTGTAATCTAATGTAATCCGTCTGTGATTGCTGTATTCCAACTGCCTCTGTGGCCGAACGGTTGCCATGCTGGTCTGCCACGCAGAGATGCCGCGTTCGATTCCCGGGCCAGGAGAAATATTTGTATGGCCTACGACTCATTTATTTCTTTCGTGAGATTGGGTGTAATTTGTGGTAGTCTATGTGTATGTCCATGGCACCCGCGATACAGGGTTTCCCTAGTACGGGGCTACGAGTGTGTGCGTTATTTATTTATTCAAATGTGACGCCCAATATAGGACTGCCAAAATTTTGTGATAGACCTCAGCTTTTGTTTAGATACCATAATCAGGAACCTGAATATTCTCCATGGCCGGCCGTTAAACACATTATGTAAGTAATGAGCGCTAATTTTCTAACCAAAAACCAGTTAGTGTTATTACCATGTCCAGTGATGGCTTCTGTTTGGAACACCCGCTGCAGCGGCGGGAAGTAGATAACCAACATTTGTCCGATTAAACTAAGAGTTACTGCCACCAGGAACATTCTGAAATTACAATTGGGAAGGTATTCTAAGTACAGTGCATTTTATACTCAGGAAGATAATTACTGCTGATAAAAACACATATTTCTATAGCATTCTACACATCATCATTGTGTATGTCAAAATAGTGCCTAATGACATATCTATTCATTTCAATGACCAATGATATAGTTTTTTTTTTAAATCGTTTCACTTAACAACAATTGACTAATTTGTTAGGCACTTTATTCAATGAATTCGCTATTGAATATCGTCAGAAAAATCTTGTTGCAATTACTCCGTGTGCAGCGCGACACAACTGTCAGGCCTCATTCCGACTATTACCGGCGAATTTGCAAGAAAACCGGCCCTCGGACTAACTCGGGACAAGGATACCGGAGCAAGACAGAAGCAAGTTCGTTCACATTACTCCGGTCCGTTCTGCCGGAGGCCCGCTGTGACAAACATTACGGCAAAAATGCCGGATCCGGCGTAATGTGAACAGCTTCATATAGCCTTTCCGGCTGTTTTACCCATAGTAGGAGAAGTGGGAGACCTTACGTATACTGTCACTTCTCCCGCACGACGCAGCTACCTCTGGAACCGACTAAGTGATAGACCTGTCCTTACACTACAAAACTCAGAAAGAAACAAATGGTAACACAACTTACTTGTTTGAGAAGAATCCGACTTGGAAGATAGACTTAGTTTGCGAGCGGCAAGAGAGCGCGTTGAACATGTCGAACAGAACGAAGCAAGTGAACGTCATTGTCGTGTCCCGAGGAGTGATCTTGTTGTCCGACATCTGAAATACACAGATTTGTAAATACTAACAACCTCCCAGGACTATAATACTAACATCATAAACAACAACCTTTGTTGCGTGACTTTAAAAGTCATGGAACAGAATTACAACAGATTTTACTTTCATATAAAAATAAACTAAATAAACTTGAACGGTTGCAAAATCTGTGTATAAGGTTCATCTTTGGCCTTCGTAAATATGACCGAATCAAGTGGCTTCCCATTCCTCTCCGCAGGAATCTACATACAGTCTCCGTTATCTATAATATTCTGCACAACCCTATGTCTCCCGGGTATATAAAAGAGCGTTTCAGCTTTCTCAGGTCCCAGGATAAGCCCTGTCGCTCTCTCGTTAGGTCCCAGCTATCTTTTCCATCCTTCAATTCCGGTTTTTATTCTCACTCCTTCACTGTTCATGAGGTCCGACTTTGGAATGCACTTCCCATTACTGTTCGTGGTAGTAAATCCTTAGCAATTTTCAAAATGAGTCTGATTGTAGTCAAAACATAATCGATTATAATAAAAGAAGTCAAGTCTGTTTTGATGGAAATAAAAGAATGTAAAGAAACACATTATCACAGTATTAGTTAGAACACATAACAATATGCTTTTTCATTACACTTGCACGTAAATAATATGATTGCATGCAGGCTAACTTGACTATTATGCCCCAAATAAAGCTATCGGATCTTTTTTCTTCTCATTGCACGTCCATGGCTATAATGAGAAGAGGCCCGAGGGTTTTATTTGGGGCATTAAAGTTAGCCTGCATGCAATTATACTATTTACGTGCAAGTGTGATGAAAAACCTTGTATGTTTCACGGGCGGTACGGGAATTATGAACCTCGATTCCGAAATCCTAATAGTCTCGTTCGTAATTCCTTATTTACCGCCCTTAATACACAATGTACTATTAAAAATCAAAATTAAGGTAATTTTGCCACACCTGTTTAGTTTTCATACGACTTTGCGTGTAACATCCCGATCTTTACTACCTCCGAGCTTTCATAGTGTGTCGAGAACGCCAAAAACCATTTACGATTGACATTCACCATGTTTCATCATATATATTGATTGTGCCATTGTTTCTATCTTACAAGAATCGGTTTGCGGTGATTGCCCTTACAATTTGAACAAAATGTTATACTTGCCTCCCTGTTGAAGACCCAGAGAGTGCCAGCGATGATGATGGCTGCAGAGAGCAGAACGTTAACCAGAAGGCCCCGTGAGATGATGCGCTTGGATGTATCGCGGGGACGACGTCGGACTACCTCGTGGTCCACTGGCTCCACACCCAGTGATTGTGCAGGGGGACCTGCAAATTGGACCGTAAAAAGAAATCGTTAAGTTTGAACCATAGTTATATCGTCATACAATGTACATAGCCATCGACAGTGTATTCCTTGCATAAGATTTTTTCTCAGAGAGCAAATTGTTATTTCATGACATTTTGGGACGCGATTATACTCGACAGTACGAATATAAGTCATTATTCTTTTTTATGATACCAAATGACGGGACAAACAAGTCATGTGTCACCCTGAGACATAAGTTGACCAGTCCCGTTAGAGACATAAGTTTAACCTATTTGGGTATAATAATAATAATAACGCTCACACTCAACATAGCACCGCACTAGGGAAAGCCTGTGTCGCGGGTGCCATGGACACACACATAGACAACCACAAATTACACCCAAACTCACGAGAGAAATAAATGTAGGCCATACAAATATTTCTCCCGGCCCGGGAATCGAACCTGGGACCTCTGCGTGGCAGTCCGGCATGGTAACCGTTCAGCCACGGAGGCAGTTAAATTATATCTTTATTTTTCGTGGGGAAATCCTCGTAGGATATCTCTCCGCCGCGGGGGCAGCGGGAGAGGTTATGGTTAGAGGCCGTACTTCTACCGGCTAAAACCCCACAGTGGCCTTCTCGGGTGCTCTAGTGGGATCCGGGATCGACAACCTATTTGGGTACCTAGTCTAAGATGGCTTTAACTTCCTTAAATTATATTCAGTGGACACGTGGAACACTTCTTTAATTTGAAAATTCATTTATTTATCGAGTTCTTAGGTTTTCGCGATAATTACACATAGGAAATTAAACTATTTTTCCGGATTTGAATCCGGAAAAATTAATTAATAATAAATTTCACTTAATAAAAATTCATTCATATTGTAACTATAGTGAAAAAACAGTGTGGTTTGCATTAATATTAGACATAACTGGTTGATAACTGTACCACCTCAGTCAACCGTGACCATGGGACCTGTAAAGGGTCCGAAACGTTGGTTTTGTTTGAAAAAATACGCGATTTAAATCCGGAAAAATAGTTTCATTTCTCCGGATTTAAATCGCGCAAGATGAATCTATTTGCTAAGTTTTCTTAATTTTAGCACACATTAATATAATTAATGCCAATTAACAGTGTGGAAATTTGAGACGTGTCAGCAAGGGCAGCTACGTTAACCATCATAGCAACAGGCAAATTATCCTAGAAGACTATCCATGAATTTGAAGTGATGCGATTAGTATTCGACGATTTTGAAAAATTGGTACAGTCAGCATGATCAAACGGTAATTTTTAAGAAACTTTTTTCATGCCATTCGATCCCATTTCTGGTAAGGATCAACAATAAGACCAACTGAGAGAAGGGTACACAAGACGTGCAACAAGTCGTGCGTCTGATGGTAAGCTACACGCCAGTCCATAGCAGTTACAGTGCCACTCAGAGCTTTAAATTGCAAAGACCTGAGGGGCACTACCACAGCTCCCGTCGCCCTGAGACATAAGTTGACACGTCTCATGTGCCTGTAATTTCACCAACCCCCTTACTCTTCAAAACTGGAACGCAGTAATGTTCACTTTACTACTTGGCGGCAGAAATAGGTAAGGTGGCAGTACTACTCTGGACGAGCTCTTTCTTTTCTTTCTGCTACAAAAAAATGTTTAATGTTTTACTGAAATACCTACTACTACTACTACTACTACTGCTATTAACGAACACAAAAATGGATCTTTCTCGTAGTGATGTATATGTTGCTTACCGTCCATAATGATGTTGATCCACAAGATCTGCATGGCGTTAAGCGGGTTGGGGATGCCCATGAGGGTGGCCAGCGCGATCAGCGACAACGCGGCGATAGAAGTAGAGAGCTGGAAGCGCACGAAGTTGCGGATGTTGTAGAATATGCACTTGCCCTCTTCAATCGCCGCACTGAAACCCAAAGTTTAAGATCTTTTTACTGCCATGATATTCATGCATTTTTTGTGAAAATATTCAATACTAGTTATGTTATTAACATTAGGTGATACCACGGAATTAGGAGTGCCGTAGTATTTACTGAAATCCGAAAGCTGTTTACGTAATCTGTAGTTAACGGTGTTGGTTACTAATTAAGTCACTATTTGTTAGTTAAAACTATGTACTATTTGTAATGAGTAACTGTTTCTTGACCCCAATAAATAAAAAAAAAATGTATTAGTACAAAAATCGAACAACACCTTGTATACCTTTAAGCAATGGGAAAATCAAGAAATAAAAAAACGCAAGTATTTGGATAGCCACATATCGTTGACTAATAAGGTCTCCTCTAAGGTTGTTATTGTCGATAATTTTATCGATAGATTGTTATATAGTATGTAACATTTTGCCAAAAATTTCTAAATTGAAAATATTACGACGTTCTAATGATTACTAATTGCGTTTATTGTATTCTTTATTTTTATTTTGAAGTCGAAATCAATTTGTAGTCATACAGATTTATAATAACTGTCTCCGTGGTCGAAAGGTTACCATGCCGGACTGCCACTCAGAGGTCCCAGATTCGATTCTCGGGCCGGAAGAAATATTTGTATGGCCTACCTTTATTCCTCTCGTAAGTTTGGGTGTAATTTGTGGTTGTCTATGTGTGTGTCCATGGCACCCGCGACACATGGTTTCACTAGTGCGGGTCTATGTTGAGTAATAACGACAGGCGGATTTTATTATGTATATTAAATTCAAATGAAAAACTTTAAAATATATCTCCTTATTTGTATTTTCAAACATATTCTGCAAAATTTAGTGTATAAATTTTCAAATTTATCAACGAACCTGTGCAAATGCAGTTGCGCGAATCATAGGCGTAACCACCATTCAGTCGATAAAGGGTATAATATTTATCGACTGCAAGCATAGCTGCTAGCAAGCGAGCAACACTTTTGCACAATTAACTGTCATTTTACTCCATCTTCAAAAAAGACAAACTACAGATATAAAAGCTATAGATACATGCTACCACACTGGGTGACCACCGCTAGGATTTCTTAAAAAAACTCACATAATCGTTGCAAAATCGTCATCAACCAAAATCATGTCCGCAGCCTCTTTACAGACATCAGTGCCGTTACGGCCCATGGCGATGCCGATGTCGGCTCGCTTCAAGGCGACACCGTCGTTGACTCCGTCTCCCGTCATGCCCACTATGTTGCCCAGTCGTTGCAGTGACTTTACAATAGCCAGCTTGTGCTTCGGTGTTACTCTGTAGAACACGCTTACCTGAAAGTTAAATATTAAGCAATACGGAATTTATCGAAACAAAGTGCAGGAATATTTTTGAAATAACTATTGGATGTTCATTACATCACTAACAAACCTATTTTATACAACAGACTTCTCTAAGCAACTTTGCTGGTCACATAGTTCCCTGAAAATCGGCTAGATGGCATTGAACCATTTTATCTAAATTACCTGACCTCGACCAAATTTTGATTATGTGAGAGAAACATCATCGGAACTATTGATTCACTTCTAGAGTTGAGTCCTTACGGGAACAACTGCCTAAATCAATATGGTCGTTTAAATTTAAACGTTTTGTATTGTAACTTACACTTAACTAGCACTACATCTATAAAGAGAACTGTGGGTTTGAATTATTTTAAAAGGCAATAACTAGTAAATATTTTAGATATGGTGGGTATGCTCAATTTATAAGTAGGTATATAAATCTTATTATGTTGAATATATGTATGTATTAAATAGTATAGTTGGATATGTATATATTTATGTCGTTAATATTATTATTGGACTTAAACTAAATTAGACTAAAGTGTATATGCGTATGCGTATGTAGGATTAACAATTAGTGTTAACATATGTTTTGTATATAGATTTTCACATGTGGAGGTTTTTAATAGGCTTATAAGTTTACATTTAGTTTATAAAATAATATTAAAGAATGCTGTAAACCTTTCTAAGAATAAATAAATAAATAATAAATAAATAAATAAATAACCTGGCACTTTGTAACCTTCGAAATAAAACTAGGAGCAACGGACTTTTATTTAAACTGGTGACGCCATTCGAATATCAAAAAATTCCCTCTACTCACCACAAAATTTACGTATACATATACACGACGACGGGCCGAAAATATTGATCCGTGAATACTTATTACACTAATAACAGACCAAAGTCTAATGAGACTTACAGTTTCGATGATCCGATCGAGCTCATCGTCAGACATGGAATCCAGCTGTTCGCCGGACAACGACTGCGAGTGCAGAACATCCAGTCCGACCATTTGTGCTAGAAATTTTAGAAGGAAAAAATCGATATACTCTAACCACAGAAGTTAACATTTACTTAAAAAGATCCTGGCAGTAAATAGACCGTGTGTCTTCAATATGTTTATTAGTATCTAATTATATTTAAACATACACACACCGGCACATTTAGCGGGACACTGTAAAATTCTCACAATAATGCAGCATTTTGTCAAAAGTTTACACGGTTTTTTAATTTCTTTATTTTAGGTCTAATTTAAAAATACGACGTTAATCGACTGTCTTTTTTCATTCACTTGTTTTAATTTCCTACTAATACTGGTCTGTCGACGCTCGAGGTTGATTTTGCGTTCTTGTAAATTTTCGTAAAGGTTAATTGATTTATTTTTCTTATTCCTTAAAGTTTGATTTAATCAATATTGAACTGTTACAATTTTTTAATTTTCAGCTGTTTCTACATTGTTGTGTTCACTAAATCTAAAAATAAAATGCATTTTGCTTAAATTAATTTTTATTTTCAGTCAGGATGGTACTTAGTCGATGTTAATTTAATTGGTTTTTATGTCTAATTGTGATTTATTTAAAAATAAATCCCACTCTTATGTTCCGCTAAATGTATATATGTATTGTAATATCGTTAATTTTCCTAAAAACGTTTATTTTGGAATTCTGCCACTTCATTATCGAGGGTGCGAAGCGGTCACCTTTATCTGTCGCTGCTGGACATACGCGCCTCCCAACTTGTCACTAAGCTACTAAACCATTAAGAGTGCTGGTGAAATTACAAGCACATGGGACTGAAAGCACAGAGTGGCACTGCAACTGCTTTGGACAGGCGTGTCGCTTACCACCAGGCGCACGACTTGTTCGTCCCGTCACTTGGTGTCATTAAAAACTCACCGACGGCCAGAGCTGTAGGCCGCGCGTCTCCCGTGAGCATCTTGACGTCGACAGCGGCGCGGCGCAACGTATCCACTGCCGATCGTACAGTCGGCCGCGGCGGATCGCACACGCCACACACGCCCGTGTACGTCAAAGCCTCCAGGCTTTCGCCGCGCGCCATCGCGATTATGCGCAGACCTGCGGACGTCGTTAGTTAATTTTTAACCGACTTCATAAAAAGGAGGTTTTCAATTTCTTGTTAACTATATCATGCGATAATTTTTGAAAATATTGGGGGGCCGATTCTGAAGATTCTTTTCTTATTTTAAAATATATCTATTTGTACCCGACTCACCCATACGTCCGATGTTATAAGCTTCGCTCATAAAGTCGTTCTGCTTCTCTTTGGTCATGGGCGCATAATTGCCGGCACTGTCGATGTACTGGTTGCACAGTGGCAGAACTTTTTCGATGGCTCCCTTCACGAACACTTCTTCTCGTAACTTGCTGTCGGCGAACTTTGGTGCACATTTCACTACCATCATTTTTGTTTCCGAACTGCGAGAGGAATTAATCGTTATAATTATTGTTATAAAGATCGAACACTAAGAAATAAATCCTTCGATCATTCTCGATTCGAACCAGATTCTTCCAGCAACCGTGCTAGACACTATACCAATTAAGCTAAGGAACGAACCAACGGATCATACTTTTTGCCGTAGCGCCATCTGTGAGAAATCCATTTCTTCACTCTGCCAAGTGGTACCTTTACAGCTACCAGCAGCTGGCTAGAGATGTCTTAATTAATTGTTATTAAAATAACTATCAAGGGGATCACAGGAGAAACTGAGTAAAAATAAAACCAAACATTGTTTCTTGTATCATAATAACAAGTTTTTAGTTAACAAATTTTGAACACCAAGCCATAGTACAGACGGTAAAACCACAAACTATATATTGACGAATCTTTTTCCTTTTGCACTGGAGGCAATATTCGAACAAAAATGCACTGTTGTCTGTACAAATAAAGACCAACTTCAAATGCTTTCAAAACATCGCTATTATAAAACATGATTTAAGAAAACGTTTTTCTTACAGACTGTTATTATTAGGTACAAGTATCTTAACACGATATTATATTTATTTTTAAGCTTCGAGCGTAATAATTTTGTACTTAAACTGACCAGTTACTGATTTTAAGAGCAATAATGTAAATAAAAATGGCTAGACTTTGGTACTTCATAAGTGACACTGGTAACACCGCGAGAAATCGAAATAAAGACAGGCGTGGATGGCAACATATCTATCCTTAAAAGTACAGAGTAAAACAGAGACCGGGAATAAATTAAATGTCATATCGTGGTAAGTAGTAACAGGAAAGCTTCATGTGCAAGAAGAGTTCGTCCAAGGAAGTAGAGTCACCGTACCTATTTCTGTCGCCGAGCAGTAACGTGAGCATTACTGCGATCTGGTTTTGCAGGGTAAGGGCCTGTAGTTTAACCAGTAACTACAGGCACATGGGACTTGTCAACTAGGTCTCGAGGTGATGGTAAACTACAGATTTTTGCTCTTTGTTGCCCGTGGAACTTACCAGCAGAAGTAGTTACATGGGCAATAATAATCTCCCGTGTAGCTAAAGACAGACGTAGTAGCATCACGGGTAATTGTTTATGTCCGTGGTACTACCACTAATAATACGGGCAATAATACTTTCCCGTATTACCACTACCAAGATAAGAAGCGTTTTATAAATCACATAAAACAAACGTACCAAAAGCCAAATAATACAACAAACCTTTATTCTTATTCAACCTTAGAACTAAGTCCAGACTCATGGTACCACGATTTCGTTTAACTAAAGTAAACGATTATTTTAAGGGGAACTGTATACGTTTTTACAGTAAGATTCCGGAGCATATGTTAAAATTATCATTTCGTAAGTTTAAAAACTACATTAAAAATATTCGAATTGGAAAATCAAATTACAAAATTGAAGACTTAGTTCCACGGGCAACAAAGGATTTTTGCAATTTGAAGCACTAAGTGGCACTATGGACAGGCGTGTCGCTTACCACCAGGCGTATGACTTGATCATCCCATCACTTGATATGACAAAAAACCAACTAAAACACGTTAATATTAAAACCCATGTTTCGTACACTAGCATACTAACTCACCTGAACGGTATCTCATGTAGTCTGTTATATTGGTCGCGCACTTCGTGCATGTTGTTCTTCAAGGCACAAGCGAGTAAAGCGCCCTCTGTCGGCTGCCCGTACAACGTTTCGTCGCGGATTATCGCGTTATTACACACTACGCCCACCTGGGAAAATTTATTTAAATTAAACAAATCAGCGGACATACAACTATCATACTTTTAGTAACAGTAGAGCTTCTTGTAAAATAGTTAATCCAAGGAAGATTCGGTTTAGAAGGGCAAGGGTGATGGTGAAACTATTTCCACATGGGATTTGACTACATTATGCCTCAGGGTGATGGGTGCTGCGGCAGTACCCCCAAGGCTTAATTTATATTGCGGTGGAACGGAATAGAAGCGAATTTTTGTAACGATATTGTACATAACATAATGGATTTTATTGGTCAATTGTTTATCGTAACGTGTGTAACTCGACCATGCGCGAAAATTACGCGGAAGCACATTGACTATAAAGTCCATTATGCTGCCACTGTAACTGTTATGAGTCAGCGCGTGTCAGTTGCCACCAGGCGCACTACTGGTCCCGTCATTTAATTTCACAAACTAAAACTGATCGGATTGTCACATGTTACGGCGAATTGTTCACTTGAAATAGTGTCTTAATGATCATTAATTTGTGATAATGGTGATGTTTCTATTTCATGAAGTACGGTATCATAACCGCCAAAGATCTCTTCCACTGGGACGTCGATGTTTCGAATCGCTGCGGCGGCATGTCCGTATGACTTTAATTTGTAAATTTAGTGGAAATAGCTCTTAGAATAGACGCTAGACGATAGAATACGCGTACAATATAATAACGCTTCCAGGATGCTGTTGGGACTACCAAGATGGTATATGGAATGCATCAGGCATGTTCGCAGAGGCGCAAGTAGACGGCTTCCAAGCGACAATGCGGAAAAAAATCGCTTATGACTCGTGTCAAAAGTGAGCAACAACAGCATCCTAAAAATTTTTGCAGGCAGATTTGATTGTTCAATTCTAAAGTACTGGGTTGGACAAATCAAATCCGTTATTATAAGTAAACATTTTGTTGTGTCGTTATGTTGTGTATACTAACCTATTCTAAGTGAAAATGTTACTAACAATTTACATAGGTCTATGCATGAAATAAATTCTATTCTATTCCAATAGACCCAAAAAACCATTTATTACAAAGTCACAACACAAAACACAATATAAAAAACAGTTTTAAAAACAGTTTTAAACAGAATAAAAAAGGACAAAGCAAAATGAAACAAAAATAAAATAACAAAAACAAACAACCAAGCCAACATAGCAAATTTTAAATAGACAACACAATTTGAATAAATGTCATGTGTAAGGCTGTGGCGTGAGTAAAAGAATCCGAGAACACAACCGAGAAAGTCTCTGGCTAACCCTGAAGGAAAACACTGTAATATCGAAGGTTCACAAAACACTCGTCAAACAAGTAAGTTCTAAGCCTTCTCCCTACGGAAGTGGGGCGTATAATGGGTTGATAGTGCTGACGATGATTCCATCGCATACTTGCCTAGATATGGACTCACCCGCTACAAGTTAGCGCCCTTTTGCTTCAACGTTGATTCGCAACTACCCAATGAATGAATGGTTAGTTAATGTCTATTCAGAAAGAAGACTTAGTAGGAAATTACTAGTTACCTCAAGCATGCTGTAAACACCCATACGTGCAACGTCCAAATCACGCCCTTTATAAGCCCGTAATTGGATGTCCCCGTGTGCGTTGTATCCAGTGCCCGTCACTTCAGCGATGTGGCCGCCCGAGGTAGATAGGGTTGTCACTGTCATCTCGTTCTTCGTTAGGGTTCCTGTAGGAAAGAATTAATAGTATCTTAATTGATGGAATTTGATGTACAAAAACTACCATATCCCAGAAATTTTTAACGTCAAATGGTAATTGATGTAAAAACAAAGTAGCGCCATCTTTTGATTCGAATGTATATAGTTATTTGTTATGTGTTCTTGTAGGGGAGAATTATTAGTATGTTAATTTAATATTAGTGGCCGAATAGTCGAATATTCTGCCAAACTATTCAGTCTGATTAACACACGAACGAAAATTGACACGAAAAATATCACTTATGAACTTCAGTTACGATTATGATAAATAATTTTATTATAATGAAAAAAAAAAGAACTTAAATTTAAAATACAGTGAATAGCGACATCTCTCGCCAGGACTAGTAGCTGTAAAGGTACTAACTGGGTGATAAATCTTTCATAGATTTCTCATAGATGGCGCTTCGACTAAAAAGTCGTTGAAAAACCAAATACAAAGACGCGACGCAAGCACATAGAGAAATTCGTTGCGTCCGTTGGTTCGTTCCGTGGCTTAGTTGGTATAGCGTCTGTCACGGTATGCAAGAAGACGTCGGTTCGAATCCGACCGGATCGAAGGAATTTTTTCTGAGTGTTCGATCTTTGTATTAATGACTACAACAAACTAGTGGAGTAATTTCACAAAAAATAATTGAATATCAATTCAATAAAAATTTAAAGAACTTAAAGTTAATTTAATTTAAATTAACGACTTAATGAAGAAAGTGATTACTTGCTCACTTCAGTTTGATCAGCATTCAAAACATCATTTTAATGTTGTTTTGCAAATAATAAATAGGTATTTGGATGATTTTGTAGGCGTTTATTTAGTCAAGAATAAACTACATAATGTGTCACCTTTTTTAACTAAAAAAAAAACAACTTACATTTCCTTTGATCTTTTCGATAATGAAGCGAAAAATTGCGCCTTCGACAACTTGCAATGTGTGTCCAGCCTCATAATTTACATGATAATTTACTGTCTTTTTTGTTATTTGTTCCTACTGTTTTTGGGTACTCGGTTCAATAGTGATTCAATATTTAGTATTTGGTCGAAAGCAAAAAAACAGGCCGAATAAGCCCAATGCCGAATAGTAACTGAATATTCGTTGCAACTCTAATAACATATTATTACAATGAAAAAAATTATAGAACAATTTGAGTACACACCTGTTTTATCGCTGCATATAACATTAACACAGCCCAAAGTTTCGACAGTGGGCAACTTCTTTACTATAGCATTCCGTTTAGCCATTCGCATCACTCCAAGAGCTAAAGTCACCGTCACCACGATTGGTAAACCTGAAAAAGTGTTAATGCATTGAAATTAGTAATGTGACAACCCTACGCTCCGAGAGACGCGTAGGCAATACAATGTGTTGATTTGCGTTCTCGCCATATTTACAGAGGTCATTGTATATCCGAAACTGAACCCAAATCAGTAAATATATATATTTTTATTATATATACTTTTGTACGGCACGTGCTATCAAAATTTGACGGGCCGACAAAAGAACCGCCAAAGAGTTCTGTCTGCTTCTGCTTCTGTCCGCCTATCTCTTTCTCGAACGCATTATGTGCACGCGCCTAATCAGTGCGCTCGCTCACGCACTCGGATAAATGGGGTAGCTGAGCCCGTTGTAATTCTAGTAGACTAGTCTCTCACGAAATGCCACGTGGTTTGGCACGTGGTAAACAAAAGTTAGTGCAAAAAAGAACCGATACCAGGTTCACAACCTGCATTACCATCAAGTGCAAGTGCGTGACTATTACTTTGATGAGATTACGAGTGTCGAAGAATTGCGTGCAAAAATCGTCATCGCAGCTTGGTAAGTTTAGTCAACTTTTCTGACTAAATTAAACAATAGTAATACATAATCATAATAAAAAAATAGGTAAAGAAGCGATCGAGAAAGATTACGTATCGCTAGGTCAAGCGGATGGCGGGGTCACTGTCCTTGTGCGGTGCATACGATTTACGGACAAATTTTCAAAATTTTACTAGATACAATTAGCCAGAATATTGAACAGAATATTTTTTAAATACTTTTAGATGATTTAGCATTATTTCTATTGTTAATTTCTTAAAAATTACGAGAATGCAAATCAACACACTGTATTTTATACTATTACAATTAAAAAAGATATAAATTTCAATGCTCTGAGACCGACCCCGGAGCGTCGCAGCGTATTTCTGCCTGAGGTATTGAAGAGCACGCCAGATGATACCGCAGCAGGATGCGCCTTTATGCGCTGAAACTCTGCGGAGTCTGTGTGAATGCGCCGGAGACTTCGTCTACGCAGTTGCTAGTATATGAGATTCCAATCCGAGTGTGGCAGTATGCCAGTGGCATATCGGCGGATATCGCACAAGCGGACTCTTAAGGGTTATCCTTCATCAGTGCGCGCTGCCGGGCAAAAGATCGTCTTCGATGCCGTCCTGCGGTTTGTGCTGGCCCTTATACTAACGTTTAGGCTTGCCACGAAGGCCTAGCTTAACTTTCCAAGCCTTGTGAACCTTAACTTGTAAGCCTTAGCTTTCCAAGGCTTGTGAACCTTCTTTGACCTGCAGGTTTCTTCACGATGTTTTCCCTTCACCGTTAGGCTCTAGACAGACTGCAACTTGCAGTTGGATCAACTTTCCAACCTCCAACTGCATTTAAACTGCAAATTTGCAGTCGGACTGCAGTTGAAATGCAGTCTGTCGAGAGCCTTTTGTATGTACTTAAATATAGAAGCCGCTATAGCAATTCGACCCGTCGACGTTATAATTCTCAATTGTGTTAAGGGGCAGATTGTAGCCCCTTAACACTTTGGAGACACTAATAAATAACTATTAAATTGACTAAAACACCATGAAATATTTACCTTCAGGAATTGCAGCAACAGCAAGACTCACGCCAATAGTGAACATATCCTGCAAGGCTTTACCCTGCAGCCACCCAGCTACCATGATGAAACCGATGATGCAGAAAGAATACATCGACAATTGAGTTCCTAGAGTGTCCATGGACCTCTGTAGCGGCGTTTTTGGTGCCTCTTCTGCTTGCATCATACGGAATATGTCGCCGAATTCTGATCGTTCTCCAGTGCTGACCACAATACCCTGTTAAAATATGAGCAGCAATAAAACATCCGGAAAATAAATTAAAAATTTGCTTATTCATAACTTTATACAAAAAAGACGACCTCAAAACTTCGCGGAATTACATCTATTCGCCTAGTTTTGTTGAACTGGGCTACCGGAGAGTGCGCGTTACGTACGTCGATTTATCCCCTAGTTTGCCACCTTTAGAGGTGGAATATTTTTTTTAAATTTTAATTGAACCAATACTAAGGTACCCTTTTTCCAACAAAAAAAAAAAGAATTGTCGAAATTAGTTTAATTTTCAGTTCAGAAGTCGGTTAAAAATATGAATATTACTGCGTTATTTACTGAGCTGTCGAAAACTTTAGTGCAAATAAAAATACTGGATGAACCCAAAAATGTTGCTGACTAAATACTCCACAAACATAATTTATATTTTAGCGAACATACAATTTCAGTTCGTAGAGTATGTGATATACATAGATGATGTATCTGATAAAGCCCAAATTTTTAATTTCTATCTATGATTTGAGACAATTCACTAGGGCTAGCACGACAGGGCGCGACTTGCGCGAAAGCGACATAAAGTGCGAGATACTGCCATTCTCATGGCACTCTCGTGCAATTCGCGCCCTGTCATGTTAAATCCATGTGAAGTACATTGGTAAAACATTCGTTTGTAAATTTATGTGTGAAACTGTGAAAAAAAGAAAAATAAAGCTGCTGCGTTTCGTTAGGGAATCGATATTTAATTTGCCGCGTTTGTGAAATTCGTTTTTCTCAAAGGTTGACTGGAAAAGAATGCTTTTAGCATTAAGCCGCCTTTTGTATCATTATGTGTTGTGGTCAATAAAGTTTAATATATGTACTTTGTACACATAATTCGAGCCACCTCGCATTTTTGTCGTAAAGGGTTAGAATACAAAAATAGTGTCATCGACGAAAAAGTTTTCCCCGGTGGCAAATACAAATTCCCAACAAGGACTTATGGAAGAGCCGTTTAGTAATCTACTTTCAAAATTGCATAACAATTTTTGATCAATCAAACAATGTTTTAGGGCACTTAGTACTGAAAATGCGTGGTGGCTCGATTTATAACATCAAGTGACGGGACGAACACAGAAACAGGTCGTGCGCCAGAAACAGTTACAGTGCCACGCAGAGCTTTAAGTTGCAAAGATCTGAGGGGCACTGCCACTGCGCCTGTCACCCTGAGACGTAAGTTGATAAGTCCCATGTGCCTGTAATTTCACCAGCAAGCACCCTTACCCTTTAAAACCGGAACACAGTAATCCTGGCATTACTGCTTGGAGGCAGAAATAGGTAAGGTGGCAGTACTACCCTGGACGAACTCTTTCACATGGAGCTCTACTGCTACTAATTATAAAGTATTTTGTCTAAAGTTTCTATATACAAATTGATCTGCTGAAGACAATGACGTTTTGCGTTGGTGGTCAGAGTGGGAGGCGAATCTTTTTCGCTCTTATTGTATGGACATAAAGGTTTTACTGTCGGATTCTATTTCGCGTAATAAACCCTAAAATTAAGCGCTGTCGCAATCGTGACTAAAATATCATATACGCAGTGATGCGGCCCTATCCAACTGGAATTACCGTCGATAAAGCCCGTCAAAAAGGTCAATAAGGTGAACACGCTCCCTTAGTTTCTCCCTGGTTCTACGACCTACACTGTATTGAGTCAGTCCGCTATATAGGAACCTACTTGTAAGCACAGTTTGTACAAATAACTATATTTTACTTTGAATACAGTATCTAAATTTATAATACACATGTGATGTATACATAGTTTGTAGGCAAACTCTCACCTTGGCGTTTCCGCATCGTACCAACGTTCCCATAAATGCGATATTATCTTTATTCACTCTCCCGGCAGATGCTTTGTTCGGCAGCACGCTTTTCATCGCCGGCTCTGTTTCACCGGTGAAAGACGACTCGTCAATGGCCAGGTCGGTGGATTCGAAAAGACGTAAATCCCCAGGAACACGGTCGCCCACATTGAGATGTACTATGTCGCCTGGTACGAGATTTCGCGCTAGGAAATGTTCGAGGCTGCCCTCTCGGAGACTGAAATAAAATTATGTATTAATTTATTATTAAATATTCTTGGGTCTTCAGAGTCCACCATTTTCATTTATGCAGTATCATACAACATGAAATGACCTTGTTCAATAATAATGTGCCAGACAATCTCAAATATAATAAATAATTAAGATACCGATTGCAAATCGTGTTTCGGTCCAAATTTTTCATAAGTTCCGGGCATTTGTATTCATCATCTCTCAAATAAACCGCTATAGTCATAGCAATACGTGGTTATATCCCGGAGGTACGTGTGTTTTAGGCGGTCAGTCAGGTCCTCTTTTTTCAGGTAAACATGCTTGACGGGTGAAATTTCGTTGCAGCGGAATGTGAAGTATTTCAAATTTCTACAATACTCAAGTGAGTAGCAACAGCGTTAGGGAATTCTTGTATTCCTTTAAATTTATATTCTATTTGACATTTTGTTTTTGTTCAGTTGTCATATAAAATCGCAGCATAAAAAATAACGTTCCTTAAAATCCAAAAGGATTATCAATTCCTTTTCCCTCTATTCAAAATCACTAAGCAAGCATCTCGTTAACAGTGAGTACAAGAGAAACGAAGTTCACTCTGGGCACAACCCAGAACACACAAACCAGATCCAATTTATTTATTTTGAAGTGCACGAAAGGAGCCTCCTCGCAATGGCGTACTTACTATTCATGTTCTCTATACATCTTGCACACTATGGGCAACAATCGGCGAATAAGTTGTGGACATTCCAAAGATTCGCGCGAAGCGTTTCGCTTCCATATTTAGGTATATGCTATAACTTCGGCGTTTTCAAGGCAAGAGTGAATAGGCACTATTTAAGTGTTGTGACGATGTGACCTCCTTACATCGTCATACCACCTTTTTATCGCCTTTTCTCCGGTTCCCGGCCACTCGTTTTTAAATTTTGAATCGTTCTTTAATAATTCCTTTGCATCGCCATTCTGATTTTGTTTCGTTCCTCCGTCATACTGCCCGATGGCAGCAGCGAATACGTCTTCTCGTTTTTTTTAAACCGTATACCAGTTATGAAAAATCTCGCGTGCGATAAACATTTTAAAGATCACAAATATTAATAAAACGGGAATAATATTTATAAAACTGAATTTATTTACCCTTGTGAATTTTGAAGTTTAAACTTACTAAGCAAGATGTATGGAGGTTGCGGAGGCTGCGGAGGCAACTACTCTCCTGGCTACATTACAATCCTAATGAACATTCCAAGCGGCACCAGCAGCGGTACACGCGTTTCAGTGTGCATATCACATCGTCAATTTTTCCATCAGGTGAGATGGAGGTCAAATGCGCACTTATTTACTCATAAAAAAAGTTACGCCGATTGACAAATGTCTTCATCACGATGACAAACATGTACCACAAATCGGCATAGTGGCTATTACTAGTAACGTGGGTAGCGGCAATAACTTCTGGGCCACAATAATATTGTGTATGCCATCGATAGGATAAGACATAATTTAGAAAAGCTTGAAACGCGTGTTACGCACTGCTGGCACCGCTTAACCACGTCCTGCAGATTGTAATGTAGCCTCCGCAGCCTACACACATCTCGCTGCATGAAAAAGAAATAGTGGAAACAAATACTGTTTTATAAAAAAAATTTGGGAAAAGTTTATGGCACAAGATATTTTTGGTAACTGGTAAACGGGTCAAAAATTGACAATTGAAAATTTAAATTGACGAAGAACGATTCAAAATTTGTAAACAAGTGGCCAGGAACCAGAGAAAAGGTGATAAAAAGGTGGAATGACGGCGGAAGGAGGTCACATCGTCACAAGCTCATTTCCAAAACGTTCCTACCGGCGGGATTCGAACCCAGGATCTCCTCGTTCCCCCCCCACATTGTAAACACCAAAGTGAAATGAATAATCGGTTTGAGTTGTTTTGTATCATTAGTTTGTATTATAGTATTATCATTATAACAAAAATATAAGTGTCCTCTCTTTACTGCTTCAGCACTTACCAGTTGCAGGTAGGCGGCACGAGCTTGTTGAGCTCCTCGAGCGACTTTTCAGAGCGGTACTCCTGCACGAAGGCCACAGTGACCACGATGATGATGGCAACAGTGATCGAGATCGCATCGTCGAACTGCCGCATACATACGCTCACAACGGCTGAGCCTGTAACAATGAATTAAATGATTTAATGGAAAACCTTTTCATCGTAGCGATGCTTTGTTAATTTTTGGACGAACAATTTTTTTTCACGATACCAAATGGCAAGTAGTGCAAGCTCGCTTGCACAGGTCATAGTGCCTTTCCCGCGTAACCAAGAGGTTAATAAGGAGGGGCACTATAAACAAAACTTATGTAGAAAGATATGGGACTGGTCATGTTTGCATCGTTGGCACCTGACCCACATTCGTACAGCCGGCTACAGTCGTCAAGGGGACAAGCTATCAAGCATTATATCCAATTTATTACTTCAAATTTATCAGTCGTATGTCGTACCTATTTCGTGCCATCATGGACAGTTTTCAGGTCGATTAACTATTAACTTATCTGTAATACGTATTCTAGTGTGATGTAATTGTAATAACATGCCAGACAACTACACCAAACACTAGAAGTAGGGAATAAAACCACGGAATTCCTTTTACTATGAGAGCCAGAGCACTCATGGCACTCAGACCAGGGTCAATATAAAAAGTTAGTTTCTAAATTTGGTGCTACCGGGAATGGACCCGGAACTTCCACATCTGGCGCTCACAGTGCAAACTATTGGTTCACTGAGGTTGTAATACATAAATTGCCATTAATTAACCTGACTTCAACACGGTAACATTATCATAAAACTCAATACAATGATTCCGGGTTTTCAAAGGTGGTGGCGCCACCGCCACCCCCACATGACACCCTCGTTCATAGTTGATTCTTTCATATTTATAATTACAAATACTATAACGAAATCATGGTAAATAAAATGATAAATAATGATTTAAATTTTCCTAGAATAATAATTAGAAATTATTTATGTAAAATATTCATACAACGCCATCTAGTCTCAAGTACTAAATTAATACTTCCCCTAAAGCATAGTTTCCCAAGTTAAGCAAAGTGGTCCCAACCGCCCCCTGTAGGGGCTTCGGAAGCCATTTGGGGGATGCTTACAGACGGTGCTACAGTATTTTAAAAAACACCTGAATTATCTGTATAAATGTTATGTTTTATTGTTATAATATAATATAATATAATATATATTATATACAAATAAAAATATATTTATAAATGTAAATGCAGTACTAGAAAAGCTAACTTTGCCTTGTGATTTTTTATGTTAAGATAATGTAAAAAATACGCGGTTGCAATTATTTTTTGTGGTGGTGAGTGTTGAAATTTTTTTATATTGCCTAAGTGCGCGGAGACAAAAAACTTTGGGAACCTATGCCCTAAAGTTTATATTCTTGTTTAGAACCAAAAGCTTGATGATAGTTTGAAGCTTTGTTCGATTTATTATTAATACCAAATAGACTTTCAATACGTAGTTTCTCGTCTATATACTGAGCTTTAGAGTTCTAGTACCTAATTAATTTTTGGAGATGAAAAAGTATAAATACGAGTTGGCGCCTTGATTGTCATGGTCCGTTATTGATAGGGTGTTACACTGCCCGAATAAATGTTGTGTAAAACCAACAAATACAATAGAATTTCTCTAGTTCGATATCCTGCACCATTTTTGTTATAGAGATATTAACCACTCTATCCATATTACTTCCTTGAAATTTAGATAAACAAAATCTGTCTATTTCTGTCTCTGATTACACATCACATAGTTAGTTCCACAAAATGAAATTCAAAGTTGAATTATCTGGAACAATACGAAGGCAAACTTAATTAAAATAGATATTCATAGCTACATAGACTATGTGGAGCTATATTCTCGGACAGACGCCTAAATCAGGTCACATAACAATAGAGGCTTGCATTAGCGTACCTTCTTCACAGAAGTAGCTTGCGGCGCTGTGTTTAAAGACGGGTACCACAGTTTCGCAGACATTGTTTACACCTACGTCTCGGTTCTACCTGAGGTAAATTAGTAGCACCAAAGCAAATTAGTAGTAGCCAAATCAACTTAAGCCATTTGAGGTTGTTTCGACCGTTAACGGATTTTTGCCGTAGCGATCTTTGTATTAATAATTATAACAGAGTCAATTCACAAGAAATAATGAATATCATGGATTTAAATCATAATAAAATTCATACAATCAATAATACAAGCAGCGATATGTTATGCAAAACATTATAACCCCTAAGTGACCTCCATTTCATCTGACGGAAAGCGAGGATGAGATCGACGATGTAGCATGCACACCTAAATAATGCCTATTCACTCTCGCCTTGAAAAAGCCCAAGTTATAGCGTTCGGGAAATAAGTCCGCAGGCAGGGAATCCCACTCCCTAGCCGCTCGCCATATATACATATAATCCTGGGAATATCCACAACATAGGTATGGAACCCCAGCCTTCGTCTAGTCCCCCGATGATGGAAAGGGGGAGGCGAATCAAATTATGCAATTCCATCGCATACTCTCCGTGATATATCCTGTAGAATACCGAAGCTATAAGTAAAGAAGAAGTCTTCTCCTTCTATTGTTTAATTAAACATTAAAATTGTGCGTAATTTACAAATTAAATCATGCACATGCCGCGACAAGGATTTGAACCGGGCCGTTCTTCCACTAGGCTACAACCGCACTCTTCTATCTCTTAAGAGGTTTCTTATATAAGAACATTAAAAGCAAATTCTAATCTTGGTCTTATTTCACGGAGAGTCGTGAAAATCACATGAACAGCGTACGAAATTTGTTGATTTTAGGCTGTGTAATACAAATGTCACGGCTTGTTAGGTACAGTGATGTTCTGTGGACAATATATCGACACATCCGTAGAACAAAGATCTATGTGCAAGACTACTTGTTCTCAGGACAAAGTACATTTCGTTCGTTCCTTCTTCGCTGTGGATGTCAGATCGACCGTTGTTCGATTTTGTATTTCCGAAACGAAATAAGGTACATAAATTGTCGAAACACCTTTTCATAGGCCTTAGTTTGAATAACTAAATTATGCTCGTAACGTACTTATTCTCTTGTCGCTGTATAATCACATCGGACTCTGTTCTTCGGATGAGTCGATATCTTCTGTATGTAGACTAAACAACATCCGACAGCTATTTTCTTACGTAAACTAACATCATACGTATGCAGAGAAATATACAATAGGCAACACGTTGAAACTCAAACTCAAATAATCCATATTTCATACATATTACGCTTATTTGGTGCTACATTGAGGGACGAATCCGGTTTCGCGCACTTTCCGATAACATAACTTGGCACATAGATGTAATTCCACGAAGTTTTGAAGTCGATTTTTTTGTATAAAAAAGTTATTACAATATATATCGAGTTCTTCGGTTTTCGCGATTGTTACACATAGGAAATGAAATTATTTTTCCCGGATTTAAATCGCGTATATTTGTTTTTTCAAACAAACCGACGTTTCGGGCCCTTTACAGGTCCCATGGTCACGGTTGACTGAGGTGGTACAGTCTTCAACCAGTTATGTCTAATATTGGTGCAAACCACCCTATTTTTTCACTATAGTTACAATAGTTATTAATTAAATACCTTATTTTTAATTTTACAAAGAAAACATTCCAATTTACGCTATATTAAGTTTTACAAATTATTTTATTGAATGAATTTTTATTAAGTTCAATTTATTATTAATTATTAATAGATATTAGAATAAACTAAAACATATTGAATAAAACGTCGGTTTGTTTGAAAAAAAAATATACGCGATTTAAATCCGGAAAAATAGTTTCATTTCCTATATTACAATATATTTCAAATTAAAATTACTTACACTTCAAAAATGTATATGGTATGCCTTTACATGTTCTATTTAGTTCAGTTGATATAAAAAAATCATTGGTATTTTTAAAGTACTTATTCAATACAGCGGTTTTCTGGTAAAATTTCGCGGCAAAGGCAAGTTCATGTTTTTTCCTATAGTGAATTTTTTTAGGAATCGTGTCTTCACACCGTATACTATATGTGTATGTGTATATCCACAATTTTACTATATTTTTTTACAAAGCGATTGATTCCAGACTTTCACTGCGGAATAAACCCAAGCCATTTTAGGTTGTATAGAGTCTTAAATGTCGCAACGTGAGGCACTCACTCCTAGCCGCGATAGTGTTCAGAAGGCCGTTGCTGTTTTAATGTTTACTAGTCTAACCATCACAACATATTTAATGGTCCCTCTTAAACCATTCACCGCATGGCCGCCTGTGGTTTTCTTATCTTTTGTTTGGCTTTATGTGTTTATATTGTATTGTAACAATACGACAAAAGTATTTCTTTGATTTCTTAAGAACTCAAATCTTTACTTCATACTCATAGGCAAATTACACTTGAATTCGTCATATTGATTATACTCTACTACTAATTCGAATGGATCCCCCTGAGAAGAATGAGTAAGAATCTGTAATAATTGCTCCTTGTAAATAAACATTTTGTCAACCGACTTGAAAAAAGAAAGAGGTTCCCAGGTCGACTGTTTCTTTTTTATGTACGTTACGCGATAACTCTGACATTTATGAAACGATTTTGATGATTCTTTCTTTGTTAAATAGAGGTTACCTCAGTATTGGTCCCATTTAAATTTGAAGAAAGTATTCCACCTTTAAAGGTGCCAAATTGGAGGATGAATCCAAATGGGAGAATAAAAATTTCGCGCACTTTCCGGTAACAGATTCCATTAAAGCTTGACAAATAGATATAATAATTACGAATACAAAGATCGAACACACAGAAAAATTTTCATCGACCCGGTGGGATTTGAAACCACGTCCATGCTGCACCATAGCATTGCTCTAACCATCTAAGCCACGGGTCCAGTTACCGAGTCGTCGAAATTCTCCTATGTGTTTTTGTTATAGATCTTTGTCCTTTTTTTTACTTTCGGCATTCGACGCCGCTTCTTCTTGGCGTGTCGACTCTGACGTTTATATTTGTGAGGACCAGTACTTAGCGACTGAGATAGCCTCGGTGGCGTTGTACAGGTCCTCGCGTGTGCAGGTGTGAAAGAAGTGCCATTGTCTGGGGAGAGGCAT